ATATATATGAACTGACAAAAGATTACCGGATACGCATGCCTGACGAGCGGCAAGAACCGCGAAGCCGGTCGTGTGCCTCCAGGGCAACTTTGTTTAGTCATCCATATCCTACTTATAATGAAATATGTGTATCTGTTAAGTTATTGACACCTGTGATGTATAAACTGTTTTGTATTCTGCAATAAGCACTAGCTGAGATGCAGCGAAATGACTCTGGAATTGAATCGTGCTCACTTGAATTGGTGCTCTTCGTTCAATTTTATTTCGGGAAATAATTCCTTTAATCATACTTATTCATCATGCGGTGGTTTGCAAAACAACCTTAACTACCTTTTCTGCCTTGCTGCTGGTAAGTTGCTGCTTATCTCAGTGATCATGAGCAAAGTAACCACTAGTAGCAGTAGCAGTAACCATTGCATGCGTGTCAGCACTAATCTGCCACCTCTGACATTTATTTCATACTTCGCAGTCGCGGTGAAATCTGTGCGCTAGATGCCCTCGGTTCGACTACATTGCCTTCTGAGCCGTCAGATCACGAGCCGGCGATATCTGACCCGTCTGATCGTGGTGCGGAAAATACATCTCGATCCGGGCGTTCACTTCGTGCTTACGCTCTTGTCGCTATGGCTTCGTTTACGAAACTGATTGTGGCGCAACTGCGACCGCGTTTACAAATTGCTCACTGGCAACCGTTAAAGGTCAGTTTGATATATGGTGAAGTCTGTATCAGTTAATGTATTCGGCAGTTCTCAAATAGGTTTCCTGATTAATAAAAATACTCACTAATTCTTTGCTGAAGCGACCTTCCTTCACAGATTGAAATATCTTGAAAAGCACAAATTAGTGCTTTTTGTTTTCGCATACTCCACAGGGTCCTCCGGCGTGCTTGCCCCTAGTTACCTGGATGTGGACACCCCATGCCGGTCTAACTGGACCGGAGAACGCTTTGCTTGCGTTCGGTCGTGGTTGCTCACTACATGTACTTCAGGTTGCCACAGGCCCTTTTCCCGCCGGACTTGATCCAATGTCTACTATCAGAGCTGATGAATCAAGAAGTCATTCGCTTCATTTCTCCCTGCTTTACTCTTTCGAATTGGACTATGAGTTGATCAGTCTAAATGTGAGTTTTCCATTTCTGTTTGTTTCCGTTTGGTGATGCTTTTTCTCACAATTTTGGTTCGTTCAATCCCCCGCTCATTCTGTCACATGTTCTGGTCGACTTGGCTTGTAATCGATTGTTTCCTGTCTATTTATGCTGTTTGATGACACATGTCACATTATTTGAAAACCGACTGGTCCAGTTTCATGTAAAGTGGCTGTTTCCCGATGTGTTACTGGTTACTGAC